GGTCGGGTCCTAGGTGAGCTACAGCCTGCTGGGTAAACAGCTGCCAAGAAAAGCCAAGCACAGGCGTTCTTAGATCCCATACCTTTAAGCTTTATTTTAGTTGCATTTAGAAGTAACAGTTTTTTCAATCTACATTCCATCAGAAAGGAGTGCTGAAGGTATCTTACCATGCTTTTATCCTAAATTTACCCTGTGCCTGATAATCTGGTTGGCACTGAAGGAATAAAAACAACCAGGCTCTTAATATACTTGGGGGCTGTATACCTCCTTCCTTACTGTCCTGAGCCTCAGTGTTCAGCAAGAAAGTGGGGGTGCTGATATCCACCTTATAGGGCTGTTGTGATATTATTCAATATTAGTTCTGTGTGAAGATATCTAGCACTATATGTAGTAGGCAGTGGTTTCCTTGAATCTGCCATCTATTTTTAGTTATTCACATGATAATATGTAAGATAAACTCTGAGCCACCAGGTGGGGTGCACATTTATAATCCCCAGTTCTCTGAAGGCTGAGACAGGAGGATGACGAGTTCCAGTCAGCCTGGGCAACTTAGCGACTAGCAAGATCTTGTCTCAAAATTTACAGCAAAGGGGTGGGAACATACATAGCTCAGTGTGAAGGTCCTGGGTTTATCCTCAGTACCACAAAAGAAGGAGAAGGAGGAGTCGAGAGAGAGGAGAAGGAAACAGAAGAAAAAAGACCAAGTCCTAATTCTCTGAAGCCTTCCTTTCCATTTTGCTAAGATTCATACATGAAGAAACAAATAGCCTGGCATTACCAGCCCACATGGGCAAGGCAGACAGAAGGACGCCCAGCGTTCTGGGAGGAGACATCCTGGTGGACAAAAGAGGGAGGATTTGAGCTGACTGAAGCAGAAATATAGGTGAGGTCGAGGACTCTAGGATTTGGGTTTCATCTTACTTCCATTTGTAGCCTGCATTTTACCCTCGGAGCCCATATCCGCGGAGGCTATGGTACATCATCTTTTCTATTACGTAGGAACCACGGATCCATGGAGTCTGTGATACAGACAAGAAAACTGAGGCGCAGAGAAAGCCATGGAGACAAAATGCTGCGATGCTACAGGACAGACCTGCCCAGCACAGGTGCCAGTGAACTAAAGGAGCAGCATGGGCGCTGTGGGGAACATGGTAATAAGAGCCGTGCCAGCAACAAACCAGCAACATTCACCGAGCACTTATTCACTGTGTCGGGCATCGTGAAAAATGCTAAATGTGTACTGACCCATGTGATTCCCAAACAACCCAATGAAATAGGTATTTTCTTTTTTCTTTCTTTGTGGTGCTGGGGATCCAAGCCAGGGCCTTGCATATACTAGGCAACCACTCTACCACGAAGCTATACCCCAGCCTAAAATTATTATTGTTGTTAATGTGATCTTGTTATTGTGCCTTCCTACATCAGCATAGTGAGAGTCAGAAACTTTCCCTGAGGTTGCAAATTCAAGTCTGTCCACCCTAAGGCTCAGACGTGAACCACCATGAAAACTTGTTCTCAACTTGTGAGCCCTGCAGAGACCAGCTCTTTCTGGAACCTTTTGGAAAGGGGGCCACAGAGGAACTGGATCCTCTCGGGTAACCCTAGTGGCTGCTTGACAGAAGGTGGCAGGTGGCAGGGTTCAGGGCACGGGCTGGAGCAGGGGTGAGCCCTTCGGTCCTCTTTGCAGCAGGTGAGGGAGACTGCCCTTCTCCTCAGGTTAAGTGTATTCGACCCTCCTGGAAAATATTTTGACTGCCACGCCCTGCCGCTGCCCAGCCAGTTCTTCAGCAACCATCTTGTTTGTTTCTTTCTGCCTTACGGCAGACCAGGCCCAAATCCAAAGACAGCCCTAGATGTGACTTGACTGCACAAAAAAACAGTGGGACTGTCCCCTATTAACCAGAAAATCATATTTTCATGACCATTATCTCCAACTGGGCTAGGTTTTTAGCAACAGCTGGTTTCTCTGGAGCTTGTGGTCAACCAAAACCCCCTTAAAGCAAGTCAAAATGTTCCTAGTCCACAGGCAAAAGCATTTCTATGCAGTGGGGAATCCCAAGGCTTAATTATATCATTTTGAGCATTCAGGGAAACAATGCATATATTCCATTTCCAATCAAAGAAAACAGAAATGAGTAAGGAGAAAACGAACAATCACCCTGGTCTCCTCCCACACCTTTTCTCTCTGAGGTAACCAGAATTAATTTTGGAGCTTGTCCTTCTAAAATACGCACAGTACTCAAAGGTTCTTTGCAAAATCACCAGAATTTGTGACAAGTGTCAGCAAACTATGACACACAGACTAAATCTGACCCACTGTCTGCTTTTGTAAATAAAGTTTTATTGAAACACAGCCACGTCTGTTCTTTTGTGCGTTGCCTATAGCTGCTTTTCTACAAGAATTGTAGGGGATGAGTAGTTACGAAAAAAGCTACATTGCAGTCAGGTATGGTGGGCACATGTTTTAATCCCAACTCCTTAGGAGGTTAAGGCAGGTGAGCTGCTCATTCAAGGCCATCTTGGGCAACATTTTTCTAAATTTTGAAATTAATTTAATTTAAAATTTAAAAATTAATAAAATGTAAGTTTAAAATTTTAAATTAAATTACATTTAAATTTAAATTAAAACATTAAATTTTTAAACTAAATTCTATTAAACTAAAACATTAAGTTTTAAAAATGTAATTAAAACCTAATTAAAATTAAATTTTTAAATATTTTTTTAAAAATTTTTTATCTTTTATTTTTTGTCTTTTTGAGACAGGGTTTCACTATGCAGTTCAGGCTGGCCTTGAACTCACTTTGTAGCCCAGGCTGGACTTGAACTTGCAGTGATCCTCCTGTCTCAGCTCCCTGAATGCTGGGATTATAGGCGTGTGCCACCACACCTGGCCTAAAACTTTTTTTAAAAAATTACAAATAAAAGTGGGAAGAATGTAGCCCTAGGTTCAATTCGGGTACCACCAAAAAAAAAAAAAAGAAGCATATGGTACACAAAATCTAAAATATAAAAAATGTCTGTTCCTCTCCACCCCATTCACTACATTTCAACCTGATTTCCCACTTAAGAAAAATGTCATGGAAGCCTGGCATGGTGGTGCACACCTATAATCTCAGCACTTGAGAGGCTGAGGCAGGAAGATCATTGCAAGTTCAAGACCAGCCTGAGCTACAAAGTGAGCTCAAGGCAGCTTGAACTGCATAGCGAGACTGTCTCATAAAGACAAAAAAAGAAAAGAAAAGTGTCATGAGACATAAATGAGAACTAGTATATGTCATGCACATTTACCAAATAGTCACAATGAAAGTAGTCTTAAAAAATAGAAAAAAAATGCCATGAGCATCCTTTCAGTGACCCAATATTGATCTAGCATCCTTTTAGGAACTACCTTATAGTGAGGTGCATGGCACATGTCTGCAAACCGGCTACTTGAGAGATTGAGGCTAGAGGATCACAAGTTCAAGGCCATCCTGGGCAGTTAAGCAAGCAAGCAAGAGAGAAAACAGAGCTAGCTAGTATTTTACAGTATAAATGACCCATTATTCTATGATTTCCCTATTGATGGACATGTTGCTTTGAGATTTCTGCCTCTGTGGACAATACCGTAATAAACTCAATTGTTTTTATTCCTTCAGCAGAAATTGGATGTAATGAGAAGGATCCATGGGGCTTTCAAGGGAAATACAGCCCTAATTGCAATGTGCTGCTCCCACCAAAAGCCTCTTCTGGTGGCAACTGTAGCCAGCCCGAGGTGCGTTTAGGACCCGTGGAGCAACTAAGCTTTTCAGAAAGTATGTGTCCAAGCGGAAGTCATGTCCTGACAGATTCACCGCAACGCTTCCCAGCTTTCTGCTTGGCCACGGAGCTCTTCCTGAGCACCCGCTCTCTGTCCCCATCTAGAGCCTCCTACACCCTCCATTGTAGCCCTGGCACTAGCCTGGGGCACCCGCCACTGAATCCAGGTAGGCTTTTCCTCACTGACAGGACAAGAAGTCTCTTGGGACAGGGCAGAAGGAGTTAGGCTCAGGGAGAAGATACATTTGATTCTAGCGTGGAAAAGTTATACATGGATCACTTGTTCCTTGATCGTTCTGAGGGCCACAGACTCCTGAAAACTGTAAAGCTTCCTCTCCAAAGGGGGAAAGAAGTCTTTTCCTGTAGGAATTCTGTGTAAATTCAGGGTGAATTTTAAATTCAGTTGTCCCAGCAGTGCTACCCGCCATGGTGCGCCATGCCTAAGTTAGCAACCCCAGCTCCAGGTACATGGAAATCACATTTCCTACCAAAGCTGGCTTGCCCGGGTCAGTGGTGTAAGCCACAGCACTTTTCTCTGTGATCCTTTAACACTTCCCTTCCTCACACCATTGACCTTGTGCCTGCCGTTCCAAAGGTCTTCCTCAGACTGGCCGTCACGTGCCCCCTTCTTCTTCTTGTCATCCTGTTTGGGAGATAAAATCACTTCTGAGCCCTCACACCACCTCTCAGTGGGCACAGCATTCTACCGATGATCCCACTGGCCCACACGGCACTTCCTGTCCATTCTCACCCTGACCTGCTTTCCTAGCTTCCGGTGCAGGCCCACACTGGAAAGACCCTTTTATCTTTAGCCCTTTGCCAACAGCAACAGTCTTCCGGTGCATTCCTGAAAGCTGTAAGTCTTCGCAAACTAGAGTTTTCCCTTCTGGCTGCTGCCCATAAATTTGATGACTACTGTTGCTAAATTTTACAAAGCAAGCTTGGCAAAAATGCTACCAAAAATGCTAAATTCAAGGGCCAAAGAGGACGTCTGTTGGTGTTTCTGCTGCCCCCTACTGGTTAGAAAGGTACCACTAAATAAATCTTAACTGAAGGTCACCCAGTCCTTTCTTGGTTAAAGTGCTCAAGGTTTAGGGGCTGGGGATTTAGCTCAGTGACACAGTGCCTGCCTGGCAAGCACAAAGTTGGGAGTTCAATTCCCGGTATCGGAAAAAAAAAAACAAAAAAAATGCTCAAGGTTTAAATTCATGTTGACTTTTAATCTCAGTTTTGGAAAGTAATGCTCATTTCCATTATTTACAAGGGCAGAATACACTGTGGTCTATTTTAATGCCTCGTAATGTCCATCAGACTGTTCTTGTCTTTGATGTCATCTTCCTTCCAGAAATCTGCCCTAAAGAAACGATAAGATGAGAAGAAATGAGGGTCAGCAGTATAGCTCAGCAGCACAAGCACCTGCCTGGCAGGTGCAAGGTCCTGAGTTCAGCTCTTGGTACCAAAAAAACCATGATAAGAAATGATAAGAAACAAGTTTGCAATTACAGATGGCTATCTTGCTATCAATGAGAAAAAATATCAGAGCGAAGTTAAATGCCCGACAACAGGTGGTACAACAAATCCATAGGATAGAATATTACGTTCACCTTAAAAATGATAATAATGAAAACACTTTTAAAGATATGAAGAAATGCCACATTAAGCAAGCAAGACACAACATCATAAGCACTGTACAATCTCAACTAAATAAGCATGAAAGTAAGTCTGGAGGTAATACACTCATGCTTAATATTTTCTCCAAACAGTAGCATTAGGCTATTCATGCAGATTCCAGTTTTACTGTGAGCATGTTTTTTATGTCAAGAAAAAAATAGTAAAACATGGAGCTGTGCACTTAGTAACTCTGAAACAGAGATTCTACATGGTGAAAGAGTGAGACTTTAGAATGAAATGACTCAAGATTTATACCTTCTGTGTTGTTGGAAAAGTGACTCAAGTTCTCCAGACTATTGCCCCAGCAGTCAGTGGACGTCTTTCTAACCGTACCCACCTCGTGGAGTCTGTGTGGAGCGCATACATCTGCACACGGACTATTTCCAGGTTCTCTTTTGTAAGCGATGGAAGCCCCTAGAAAGTTCAGTGGCTGAGGGCTGGCTGGTCTCCCACTATCAAAAGCCAGTTTCAGGCCAAATCTTCCACGCCATCAACACTGGCTTAATTTTTATTAGTGAACAGAAATAACACGGTTTCACAACTAAAACCTCCTGCTGGGTGAAGTACTTGCTTGCAGCCTTTTTAGCTGCTTAGACCAATCTCCACCTGGCTTGGAAGGGCCCCAAGATGGCCACAGTATCACAGAGGTAGGGTTGGGACACTTCACGCAACCAAGAAATTCTCTAAATACCCAGACGGCTAAGTAGCTCAGAGCTTCTTATGCCTGTTTCAACCCAAGTGGAAGTACCAATAATAACACATGTCAGCCAACCTACAGCTCTTGAATACCACTTACAGACAGCGATAGAGAGCCCTAGTTGTGCTTGTCAACATGCTACTAATTCCACCCATGAAAACCCATTTCTGACAGCTTATTTGCTAACAAAACACTTGCTCTTTCTCAAAGGTTAAAGTGTCTAAAGCACGCAAAGTATCAGAGGCCTCTCTTGGGGGGCAGCCTTTCGGATAGAAGGCCAGCTGGCCACTGGCTGGTTAGATGGGGGTGGCCCATGGGCTGCCACTTTAAATAATATGCAGAAATCTCTCCTAGTCCTGCAGCCTTGCTTCAGAGTTATCATACCCATAACACCTGTCACAGGTAAGAGCCCAACACATAGGTGATTATTAAATCTGAAGCAAAAATTAACACTCTGATTTTGATATTTTCTACACACTCCCTCTTATAAATTTGGAACTAACTATCCTTCTTTCCCCTCTTCCTTCTTTCCTTTTTTAAAGTCTGAAACAATTCTGAGCTGAGTCACGCACACTGATCACAGCTTGGTCCTGACGGATCCTTCTGGGGTCTTTGTCTGTTATCTTTGAAGTCAACAGCCCTTCAGATTGGGTCCCGAGTCTTAGGGGTCCCAATTCAGATTGGGTTCTGATTCAGATTGGGTCATGAGCAGCCAGTTGCTTCAACAATCCCCTTTGCAAAACCAGGTTGTCTACTAAAACCTAAAATTCTTCTTTCTTTCAACCCAGGAAAGCACTTTCTGAATTCCATTCTGAAGCTGTCCACGCTAGTGCCCAGAGCACAGCTGGTGCGCGGAAGTCTGTAAGAACACCTGCAGGTTTTAAGAGAGACACTAAGGGGGAAAGGAGGGAGCCAGAGTCACCAAACATTAGAGAAGGGTAATTTGGGTAATATGGGGTAATTTATGGATTTATTTCTCCTGCCTTTCTCTGTCGTGTATCTATATTTAACCGGAGCAAGGGCTGGCGGGTGAGGGGGGCGGAAGATCTCTAGTCAGACCAGAGTCACACTGCCTGGCAGCTTTGAGGCCCAGAAAGGGCACCCCATCCTCCACCCCTGCCCGGTCTCAGGAGTCCCACAGAGAGGCTGCTTTGGTATTGTAAGAGCTCTCTATTCAGAGAGGTTTTATCAGAGAAACTAAAGCAGAAGGAATTTGGCTCAGATAACAGGATTAATGGACATTCTCCCCCTGCAAAGAGCTGATCAGGACGGAAGATTGGCTACAGCTCCCTGAGCTGGGCCTGGTACACACTCAGAGCTGCTCCGGGCTTCCCTGGGCCTTCCTGAAGCCAATTCTCTTCCCTGACTTTCTTCTTTTCTTTTTTCTGAGTGTGCACATGTGTGTGGTACTAGAGGTTGAACCTGGTGCCTTCCCACCAAGCACATCCCCAGCCCTTCTTCTTATTTTGAGACAGGTTCTCATTAAGTCACTAAGTTGCCCAGGGTTTAAGCTTGCGATCTTCCTGCCTCGCCCTCCCAGAATGCTGGGATTATAGGTGTGTACCAGCAGGCCTGGCTCCTAAACCTATTCCTTTTTGCTGGATACTGGGTTTCTCGAGGGGCCTGTGCTATCATAGCTCTCTTCATTATTCTCCCGGGCAAATGACTCCTTCTTAATTTCCCCCTGGTTTTCGGCTTTGTATTTTCAGGTTGATGCTGACAGACTATGCAGGCCTACATAAGAGCATGGTTGGTAACAATAGCAACAAGGGATGCTGACCTTTGTGGGGACTTCTCTGTGGACTGAGACAGGTGACAGATCCACACGGAATGAGCTCTCCCCTTCTCCCCACCTGAATCTTCTGCAATCTCCCAAACACCTGTCACCATCCGGGCATTCAGGAACAATGGATATGAGGTGTGATTACAAAATACAATGAATGCTTAAAATTTTAAAATTATTACAGTAAAGGAAACATTGCCATTAATCTCCCTTAAAATATGCTCCCTGGCTTTGAAACACATCCACCTCATCATTCTTGCTACTTTCTGAAGCAGATCTGGAAGTGTCTTTAGTTGTGCTGTCATAGCTACCTCAATGTCCTGAATGCATTAAAAACATTTCCTTTTCATGCTCGTTTTGACCAGGTGCCAGATCTGGGGAACAGGATAGATAAATACACACTGTCATGTTTTATGAGCCTGGCTTTCCATTGAACAGCATTTGGCAACATTCCCTGAATGGTCACACCTCATAAAGACACTCATAAAGACACTCAGGAAAGAGGACTTCCAGAATTGCTTCAGAAAGTGGCAAGAACGATGGGATACGTGTGTTTGAAGTCAGGAGGAGTATTTTGAGGGGGACTAGTGGCAGGATGTCTTCTACCATAACAAATGTTTTATTTAGGTATGCATCACATGTGTATCACACCTTCCTATTTTACTGAAGTTGTTATGCAGAGACAGGCAGATAGATGTAGAACCACAATGCAGAACACACAGCACTTTCCCATTAGCGGTCTCTTCCCACCATATTCAACATTTCTCTCCTCTGAGATCTCTCTTCTCTTCTAATTCTCTTCTCCACCCTCAGGCTGTAGAGGACCCTCAGTTTTCCACAGCCATTAGCTCTTACCTTGCAAATTCCACTGGGCATTGCCATTGGCATCAGCCTAAGGAAAGCCAGGTTGGCCTACAGAGCCCGGCTACTTGGCTTCAACCTCTTTCCTCTTGGGGAGAGGGTTCTCGGCAAATTATAGCCATGACACTACCAGATACAGTTTTCACAGCATTTCTGAGAGGCAAGAGCTCTTTAATGTTGTCCCATGATGCACACCAAGAAACAAGGTCGAAGGTTCTCTTGCTCACAGTTACTCAACCAGATGCAGACGCGGGAGCTTCGAGGATGTGGGTGGTCTCCATGATGCTAGTCACTGTGGCCAGTGGCCCCAGTTACCCGAGAGCCCCAGTGTAATCCCACGTTCTTCACTCTCTGGCCCCCCTGGCCCGGAGTCTTATGATCACCCCACAGACGCTCCAGGCTCATCCCTCATCACAGACACAGCTCCTGGGACCCAGAAGTGCTTGGTGAATAGCTCAGCCTCTGGGTTGGTGCCAGGAGCCGTCACTACCTGCACCAGTCATCCTCCACGCACCTCTGGATGACGCAGGTGTGGTAGATTGACAACTGATGCTCATCTTATACCCAGCTGAACTGAACCAGCATGGTACTGGGCGTGGGAGGCCCACCTGAGGGTTGTTGCCAGCAGCATAAGGGGCAGAACTGGAGAAGAAAGAGAGGCTGTCGGGAGCTGAGAAGCTGTTGGGTGCTCTTAAAAGCTATAAGGAGCTGTTGGTTCTGTTGGAGGAGCTTTACATGCTGGCTTTCCTGATGAACTTCACTGTTCCTATAATCCCAGGAGCTCAGGACCTTGTTGTCACTGAGAATGGCTAAGGTTCACTTTGGGGGAGCTCTGGTCCTCACTTTGAGCATCGTTTTCCGGCTCCAGAAGGGAAGGTGGTACACTGCTCTTTCTTCTAGACAAGCTTGTCACGTTGGCTGTCCTGATATGAATTCTTGGCTATTCTCATCATCAAAGGAGCTTGGGACCTCACTGTCACTCAGGATGGCTGTGGTACCTTTCAGGGGAGCTCTGGTTCTTACTTTGCATGTTGCTTCCTGGCTCCAGTGCAGATCCCTTAGCCTGCTAGCACAGATCCTTCATCCTATTGGCACAGACTTTCTAGCTTCCACCACTGATCTTTGGGCCTTTCCAGTGCAGATCTGTGAAACAGGCCTGCATGAGACACTGTCATGGGCTCTAGGCCTCCAGCTGGACTCATGGGAGGCATTGTTATGGGCTCTAGATCTTCAGCTGGACTCATACATACAGGACATTATTGTGGGATTCAGGCCCTTGGATGCATTCTTTGGTCATTAGTGTGTGAACAGATTTCCTGCACTCTCTTTTACATGAATCTTT